CTCTCTCTCTCTCTCTCCCCCCCTCCGCGGCCGATCGATGAGCCATGTGTTTGTTGAAGAGTGACCTCCATTCTGTGCAGCAGCCGCTGCACCTGAGTTCGCCGATCAATGGGGGCAGGAATCGTCACCGATGTTGTGCCTTGCAGTACCTGGCCGGATGGCCCAAGTCGTGTCCTCGGTCTCACTCGTCGCCCTCCTCCAATATCTCCGTCCGCCCCCCGAGGTTCAGGCACGTAATCAGAGTCCCCCGCATCATCAGTGTCTGTGGTCTCTCCCGGGGCGACATCCGTGCTGTCGTCGTGGACGATAAGTACACTGCCACGTCTCTTCTGACCTGCCACTGCATGTCCTACAGTGCCTGCACCCTCCCTGCAGACGCTGTCCGCCCCCGCAGGCCTCTCTCCAACATCCAACGCAGCGCCATCAGGTGCAATCTCTCCGTCCTCGAGAGGCGCAACACCGAATCGCCCAATGTGGGATCGCATATGTGGCGACGAGCGTGACGCCTTCCTTTCCGAAGCCTTTTTCCTCTCTCGAGAAAGACTCGCCTTCGCGGCCCTCGTATCATGGGCATCAAAGGTCTTCGTCGGCAAGGCGCTCCATGTCGGTCCTCATACTCTGACATGGCGGTGTGGCGAGCACCGTCGACACTCCTGATGGATCGTGTCCCCATACAAGGTGCGGAGGGTCTGCCTGCAATCCGGGCTCCCGGCTCATCCAACCCCCCAGCACGGACCTCAGTGGCATAGAATGCCACTGTCGGCAAAACAGTGGCTCTGTCGCGCCATGCTATCGACGAGGACCCGACCGCAGGCTGTCGTGTGGGGCCCATCGTGTCCGTGGCGGGGACGCCCGTAACTTCGCCGGAAGTACCGCTAACGGGGTGATGCTCTGATCTCAACGGCGGACTTGAGGGTCTTGCTGATCTGCCGGCTGCGTCATCTGCCCCGCCTACACACCCTCCCTCAGGAACGCCAAAGGAATCGGACAAACTGCGGTGTGCGATGCTGCGGTGACCGCCGCGGTGATGTCGAGTAGCCGTCTCGACCTTCCCAAGGTCCACCTCATGTGGCCTGCCAACACGAAAAATCGTGGGCGTGGCAGAAACAATCGTATCGCCTTCAAACTCGTCAAACGTGCCTGGTGCGCGTTCCATGGCGACGGGCTGTTGCAGGTTGGGCGTTGGCACGTGGGGCAGACCCGGAGATATCAACGTCGACAAGTCCGGGAGCGAGGCGAGCGCCGAGTCCATGGCCAGTAAATCGGCGGTACCAGGAAGACTGCCGGTGGGGCACTCCAGGCCGACAAGGGCAACGGCGATATGCTCATCGGTGGGAGTGCGTGAGACGACCACGTCCGGGAGATCGTCACCTAGACACACATCAGCAGTCCCCTCCGTCAATGCACGCGGTGGTCGCGACACAGTGTCAACTGCATCGGCTCCCTGTGTGCTTGGTGGATGCCTCTCAACCCCCTCCATGCCTACATCGGGATGATCATCCAAAGCACTGGGAGTCAGCGGCACAGTCTCTCGCTCCGCCACTGACGGTGGTAGTCGCACATCGGAGGTTGCTACAACTGACAATGCAGGCGCTCCAGCAGAAGTGAGCTGATGCATTGAATGAGCAGAACCCTCGTCGTCCATCACCGGGAGAACACCGTTGTCTCCCTTCAACTCGGGATGACACATCAACGGTCCCAGACCCAATTCCGATTCCTGGATTGCTGTCGAGGACCCCGTCGGAGTTGTCGCGTGCATACTGAAAGTGTCACTTCCGGCATGACCGGTCCCGTTAATCACCTCCATCCGCTCCTCGTCGGCATGGTCGCTCAAAGAGTCCTCTAAAACAGGAATCTGCTCAAGTTGAGGGACTGCTGCTTTTGGAATGTCGAGAACCCCGCCATGACGTCTGCGCACACGGGAAGCGATAGTGTCTCGTTCCCTGGGTCCGCGCTTCAAGCGCCTCAAGCCACTGCCGTCCACGAGTCCTGCACCACCATCAGTGGCTCCATCTCGCACCCTGTCCGAGGTTGTGCGGTGCTCGCCTCCCGCCCCCTGGACGTCCATGGTGTCACCGTCTGCAGGTCTCGAGGCCACTACACCGCTCCCTGCATCAGCGTCACCCTCAACACAGCAATGTCTCGCTCCCTCGTCAAGCCCTCTATCGTCGTCTCTCCGTGTCGAGCGGGGTCGTGGCCGATCTCCCCCATCACCACGATCATCGCCTCCGGAGCCGTCATCGTCATCCTTGTCCGGGTGATGGTCGTCGAAATCGTTGTCGCCATCCTGTGCAAGCGTGCCACTGCCGAAGAAATCCTCATCGTCACTCGACGAGCTCTCGTACAAAAAGTCTCCCTCGTCCCATCGCTGGCGAGGCTTGCGTACAAGCTGGTCCGCCGTCACTCCACGACTCGCGACACACCTCCTCCCGTCAGGACCTCCACGCCCGCCTCGCCCACGACCGGCCCGACGACCACCTCCGCGACCACCTCCACAACGTCTCCTCCTATCTGACTCTCGCAAACGACGAGTGGCTCCCATGCGGGACACGGCACGCATCCTTTCTCTAGCGTGCAACAACTCCTCATGCGTCACCGCAACACGGGCTCCTCTGTCGGCGACAAGCTGCTAGTCAGTGGGCACCTCCTCCTCCACCTGTTGCCAATAGTGCACCCAACTCCCGTATGGATGTGGCCTGTCGTTGGGAGCATCGTCCGACATACCCTGCTTGTCGAGGAGTCGAAGGTTCCAATGGCATCGCACGAGCTTCTCGACCCATGCCACCTCCAATCTGTTTCGGGATTTGGAGTGGATGAAGCTCCAGCGGGACCATGCTCGCTCGCAGGGCGATGCAGTCGCCCACACACGCAGTATCCTGCCGGCAAAGAAGGCCGTGTGCGGGAACCTGTTCTCCTTCGACTCCCAAAACGTGGCTGAATGGGTGTAGCTCCTCGCCGCTCGGTCCATGGCCACGTCGTCGAACGGCGGTTCCCTGGTGTGAAACTTGTCAACGGCAGCCAGCACCTCGTTGTGCTGATCCGAACCCTTCGGGTACTCGAACTAAACAAGAGCGACTTTCAAACCCTGCTGCATCTCGTCGTCGTCTGGCATCGTGCGCTCTCGAAACTCGGGATCCAACATCATGGCAGCAATATGAGCAGGCGACTTGAACATTGTGCGGCGTCTGTTAAACACTTCGAGAACTGCGTCCTGCTCATCCCTGTCAAACGAGGCACATGCTGACAAATAACGCACGATCATCTCGTCGTACCGACGCAAAATCTTGCCAATTTGCCTCGTGTCGCTGTCCACCATCTGCAGCATGTCCATGATGGGATCCAACAACTTGCACAACGCTGTCATATCCTCCCACCACCGAGGACAACCGACATATGCTGTGACCTCCGCGGCGGCGTCTCTAATCTTCTTCGTCGCCCAAACAGTGTCCTTCCACCAATCGTCGATCACCACCCTCATGAGATGCGATTGCAACCTAAGAAGCCGCCGCATCATAATGACATGCGTGCCGAAGTGAGTCTCGGCAGGAAGCAACAGTGTTGCCGTCGAGAAAGATTGCAAAACCTCGCGAGCATGGCTATGGCGCTTGAAAAACTTTGTGACCACCCGCGCCTGAGCAATGCGGGTCGCCACCCACTGAATGCCGCCGATGTCCTTCAGGATGAGGTCCATGACGTGCGTCACACAAGGAATCCAGAAGATGTGCTTAACACTCTCATCCTTCTGGAACACCTCCATCGCAGAAACGTTGGAACTAGCCGAGTCTGTGACGAACACGGTGATGTCTGCGAGCTTGATGTCAAGGGACTTCAACCTTCGCAGCCAAGCCTGCGCCAGAGCGGCGGCATCCTTCTTTCCTCGCATGACATCTGTCGCGACGTRTGTCRCGSCCCGYRTGGTCCCGACGAGGTAGTTGCACAACGTTTGGCCCYGAATGTTGGTCCAACCGTCTGTCATGATCGTGCATCCGTAGGTTGCCGAAGTAGCAAGGACGGGTTTCACACACTTTTGAACTTCCGCATCAAGCTCATCCAAAAGCGAGGTACGGATCATGTGATATGTCGGGGGTTTCGGGGTGGGCAACCCGGGAACCCCAGGTGGGATGATCATTGTCAACATGCGTTTGAAACTCTCAAGCTTCACGTAGTTGAACGCCATGCCGCTCTCGATAAGAAATCGCATGATTTGCAGGTGCCATGCGTGCTCCAGTGGGTCGTTGTAATACGATGTCACCGCCTACTGCCTGTAAGTGTCCTTCACTCGTGCACCGACGCCGCAACCTAGCGAATCCCACACCCCGCCGGCAGTCGCAGGTGATGCAGGTGGGCCTGGGCTCGGAGCAGCAATGTTGCGCAAATTTTGCAGAGGATCCAATGTCCCAAAGAGACCGTGCTGCGAGGTCGGGGCTGTCACGGGCGCAGGAGTGGGTGACGAATCCGAAACTTGAATGGGCTCATCGAGCGGGATCGTGTTAGCCCCCGCAGGGACCATTGCGGCGGCCTCGCAAACAGGTGCGGAAGTGAAGTCTGGTGCCCGTCCACGTGTCTGCGAAGGAGGGGGCGGCAACCATGAATACGCAGCAGCCTGATGTCCCGTCGCGGGTGGTTCTGCCGCTGGGGGAGGTGCGGCTGCTCGGCGAACTCTAGCAACCTTATCCCTGTTCGCGGTAAACACCGGGGCGAGGCCGCTCGATGTTCCAGGGCCCTTCCCCCACCCTCGACCCTCGACGAAAGCACGAGTCCCTGGCTCGTCGAACAGCACAGGTACCCCGACATCCGAAACTGGTGCGGTGCCTTGCGCATCAGGCTGCGTCGACACCGATGGAATGGCACGTGAGTCACGCATGCACCCACCGGGAACGGCACCATCAACGGGTGCTGCAGTCATCGCATGAAGTGGTGCAGATGAGACTGTCGTGGGACGAGGGGGGAGCGGAGCACGTGGTGCACGAGGAGATGGCGCCATCTGGAAGGGGGCGGCGGTGGAAGGAGGCAGTGGAACAGAGTCCTCAGGAAAACAAAGCGATGGCCATTGGAAAGAGGGATGACCTAGAGGGAGACTCTGCAAGGCTTTCACGGCAGAAGCCAAATGTGCAGGACATTTAAACATATCCTTGGACCAAATCGCGTGCCAGACCGCCGGGGTTGCCATGGCGCATCTGTAGCCCTCGCCACGAAAAAAGTGTTCCTTTGCATCGCGAGCATCCCCGCATATGGAACGCCCGCATAACCTGCACACACAACGACGACCGTTCTTCCTCCCGATCGCACTGGACCCGTCCAAATAACGACCACGAGCAACGAAATGCCAAACGGGGTCATCTCGTTTCCCATCTGCCTTTGGATCCACCTTGAAAGGGGAGTCAAAGGACTTCGTGTTATGACCTTTTCTTCCACCGTCTGACCTCTTCCCTGTCGCCGAGGAGGACTCCACAGGGCCGTTCCCGGTGTCCCGTGGGGCGGACATGTTGAGTAGGCTGAAGAAAGTGAAAAGAAGGGTAAACTGAACCGTGGAGCTGGAGCCGACGATGAAGAACTGTGCCGAATATCCGACAAACGAACCTGAAGAAGATGGACAATCACCAAAAGGTACACAAGTTCCATAACAACCACAACGACAAACAAGAGAAGGTACAAACATAAAGACCCTTTTCTCCCCGAGTATTGAAAACACCGCTACAAATAAGAAAATAACAACCACAAGTTCAACGTCTTTAAAAAAGGAAAAAAAAAATAAATAAACAAACAACCAACGGCATCCCGTCGATGTCAAACCTGTATAAACATTTCCCACTCATACCACCCCATGCATCGCCGTTTATGGCGATTCACCGTCAGTGCCGCCACCAACAAAGGAAAAAAAAAA